AAGTTCTTGCAGTAGAACTCATTTGCAGCAATTGAATGATTCTTTACTTTTGTTATATAATTAACAACAAGATTAACATGTTTCCTTATTGGTTATTGCATTTATCAAATAGTGTGATATTTCTGTTCTTTTCTTTCTTTTTTCTCTTTCGTTTATCTCATTTTACTGATTCAAAATGTCGCTAAAAGCTGGAATCAAAAGAAAATTCAGAAACCAGGAGAAATCAGGAGAAAATCTAAAAAACCAGCTCCTAGTATCAGGAGATTCTTTAACCAGGAGAAAAGTCAAAAAACCAGGAGGTTTGGCAGCCCTGGTGTCATCTGATTCAGTAACAATAGGATCATATTCGCTATCCAAATCCGAATCTTGACCATCATCGATATCATCAATTTCATTATTATCTGTCAATAAAATCTCTCGAATTCGTTTTAAATTTGATTTATGAATTGTGTCCATGCTATAAAAATAGGAAGTATGGAAATGTATATTTGTTGATTTCACTTACATTTTGACAAAGAAAATTCACAAAATTCAAATGTGTAAAGAATAAATTCGATCGAAGTGTGGTTCTGATCAAAAACGTTTTATAAATTTAACACTGTACAAAGAAAAAGTAAATTATTATTATTGGTAATGAATGTACAAACGAATTAAAACGAATTTATATTGAAAAACAATGGGAGGCAATAGATGGCAGCTTCAGCAAGCTCAAAAATGTGGCCCATAACACCATTGCTATTGTGGGGTCCAAGTGGACCCACCCCTACGTTTCTTTCCTCTTAGAGCTATTCACAATTTCTAGTAAGGTTATTATACAATAAAAAGAGACTAGAGATTAGATAAAACAAATGATCCGAAACAACAAATGTTAACATGGTATTAGATGAAAAACTGTAAAGTGGGTCCGCTCAGACTTCACAGCAGTAACGAAGGGTTAATCGCACTTTGAATTTTGATTAAGAACGACTATTAGGCAGTAGGTAACATAAAGGGTGAGCGAAAACTTTTGGTAGTTCATAGTGTTAGCTGCGGTTAATATTCTGTTTACTTCTTCGATAAAACGAAAACGTTACGAAGATGAACTAACACTCTCATCCTTTAACTAAGATCGAGTTTATAGTTCCGACGAGGCGTCTTGTACCATTGTTGCAAAGGTGTAGAATTAACATATCACGATGTACTAAGTCTAATTACACTTGTCCTTTGACATCCTCTAGCTGATATGTTCCTAATGGACAAATCTTTCTAATTTTGTATGGACCAACCCAATCATTCGACTGTAACTCATCAACATGATCTTTCAACCGGTGATCGTAATAAATTTTCATCATAATAGGATTTGAATCTAGCCGTTGATGAACAATATCACGTTGCTGAACTAAGTGATTAATAATAGGTACTTGTTCATCATCTGGTAATTTCACTTCAACGCCATATATCATATAAAATGGAGTTTCACCTGTTGCATAATATTGTCGAATTCGACATGCCAATAATGCATGATCAACATATTTATCTCATTTATTAATGATAATATCACCTACATATTTTGCAAGTATACTATCAAATAAATGATTAAACCGTTCGATGATACCATTTGAACGTGGATGATAAGCAGATGTTAAAGTGTGCTTATAATGCCAATTAATTTAAAATACGAATTTAACACATTTTTTGTAAAATTATTTCCTCGATCAGGAATTATTTCTGTTGGACAACCAAAATTCAAAACAATTTCATCATAAACAAATTTAGCAATCACTTCATGTGTGGCATTTTGTGCCACTCTGGCAATCGGCCATTTTGTTGTATGATCAATTGCGATTAATATCCATCGGTGTTTCCATTTTGTGTGATTGGTAGTTGACCAATAAAATCAAGACTCCAGCGATGGAAAGGCGGTAC